CGGGGGATGGGCGGCTCTCGGGGGATGGGAGCATCTGGCGGGGGATGGGAGCATCTGGCGGGGCGGCCGGTGCCGGCAAAGGTGAGCGCCCCTGGCTTGATTCGGGCCCCCTGGGACTTGCAGGGAGGAGTGTCACCGCCGCCACCGGCCTGGATGGCTCCCTGGGACCTCCGCGTTTCGGTTGGGGCCTGGGTTGGCGGCCAGGGATGGCGGCTGGGGTGCTGCCGTCGTCCGAGGGGGATAACGCGGTCGACGGGCGTCCAAAGCAGCGAAAAATGGCCGCCATGAGGCCGCTGAGGCAGCCACGCCTACAGGGTGGGGAAGAAAAGGAGGAGCGTGAAGAATTGCGTGGCGGTCAGGATTCATGGAATGGCAGCTGGCTTTGGCTGCTCAGGCAGCAACGGTAGGCAGCGTGGACTGTGCGCGACTGCTGGGCGCGACTTGCGTCCCACCCCTTCACTTGCCACGCAATAAAGATTTTGATCACATTCATCGCTTTTAGCGCCCTCGCTGGCATGATTCACGCTCGAAAGCGCAGCGACCCCCGGGCCCGGGATGCCATGTCATGCCCCCCGGGCCCGCCAAAGGGCGGTGGTTCTGCCTTGAGGCTGTAGTATCTGTTTTGATAGTATCTTACCTCTTGTTGGAGCGCTTGTGGGACGTCCGATCCTTCTGGGCGCCCTCCTCGGCCACCTCTGTCAGCCTGCGCTCGGCAGGCTGCTTGGAGCACATCCCAAAGAACGCCATGCACAGGACGAGGAGCATAATCATCCCTTTGACTGCCATGGTGAAGGTACCGTAGACGGTGCTGGCACGACACGCTGAGCTACCGTGTGTGTGGCGGATAACAAAACGGAAACCTTGGCTGCGTTGTGTTTGCTACAAAATCTGGTTGCTTTAGGTTCTCTTGATGATATAGAGGATCGGGGCTTGGTGTTTGAGCCCGAGCCTGCTTGGACGCGTGGACGCTGCGTTGCCGCCTGCCCAGCTCCTGCTGCGTGTGTGCAACCACTGGGCAACAAACGCCCTGCCTGTCCCACTGAGCGGCCCCCTTGTAATTTTGGAGGCTCACACACTCAAGCATTGCTTTTTTAGCGTCATCACGTCGCCTGCACTCATGAGTGGCAACTGGACAAGGTGGCGTCAAGTGGTATCGGTACCTGCAAATCTTTGCTGAACATACAGTACCTGCTGTGCACATGGTGTTACTTGGAAAGACTGAAGCAAACAAGGAATCCTGCACGCAGCGCAGCGCGTCCAGTGGTGCGTGCCTGCTCTCAAGTGTGTGCACGCTGTCAGGGGCATCACGAGGCGAGCTGCTTGCAGGGCTACTCGGCCAACTAACAACTTCACATGCAACGCCTCGACACCTCGCCAGCACGCCGCTGGCAACGGTGTGCACTTGCTGGTTCCTGCCCCTGACATCAGGGAAGAGCCAAGGCGCTGACGCTGCTATCTGCAGATGTGGCAGCCATCCCACACGTCCTGAAATCGGGCTGCTCAGGGCTTGCACCCCGGTGATGGCCCGGGTGCCGCTCCTTGGGCGCAGCAGCTTGCTGCTCACTGGCTGCCTGAACGTGGGTCACAGGTCCGACGGCCGCCCTTGATTGCTGCGCTTGGCACCTCAAGCATGTCGGCACGCGCTGCTCGCCAACGCGACTTATATGTCTTTACTACATCACAGGGAGTAATGCAAAAGTGCTTGCGATGGATCAGGGTGTGTGACAGATGCACCCAACAGGTCCCTCTGCCGCTGTTGACCGCGCTGTGCAGAAACAAAACCCGGGAAAAAAACGCAGCTGAACAGCGTTGGCACCTGTGAGCCTATCGTCGCTCGGTGCGCGTGCGGCACTTGCAGCGGCACGACACAACACCCAGCTGGCGTGCCTTGTGTCGCACTCAACACAGGGAAGGGGGGAGTTGACCCAGCAGCCCTCGCCGGCAACTGGCGGCCGCAGCTCGATTGGTTGGAAGCCCCAGGCCCTGCCCCTCACGCCTTGCCGATCGCCACTGCGACGTCTGCGCTGCCGACGGACGGCCGCTTGGCGGCGCTGCTTGCGGCGGCCCCGTTCTTGCTGTCAGTCCCGAGCCACCTGCGACGCGGCGTCGGCAGCAGCCCCGGGGCCTCGGTCAAACGACGGTCAAACCGGTGCCTTCACAGCAGCGAATCCACCAACCGCAGAGGTCGCAACCGCACTCAGCAGACAGCCCGCGAGCAGCAAAACAGCGAGGCCGCTCCCTACAGAGGCAACAAGAAGGCTCTTGCCGACCCGGCCAGCCCCGCCCCTGTCACCCACCCAATCATCTTGTTGAGGGCGGTGACGTAGGCGCGCACACTGGCCACCACAATGTCCTCGTCAGCGCCGCTGCCTGAGAAGCTGCGCTGCACCACCCGGCTGTGCGCGTCGGTCACCCAGCCCTCGTTGCTCATCTTGCCGGAGGGGCGGATGGTGACCCTGCGGGCGGAGAGGATGACGTCACACACATGCGAGGGGGCAGCAATAGCCGACAAACCCAAGCCGACGAAAGGGTGCTACGAGCTGCTCGCGGCGCCCTTTGGCTTCACTGGATGCTGGCGCGAACGCAGGCACAAGGGCGCGCGAGGCCAACCGCCCGGCCCCCTCCTGCGGCTGCCCTGCAAACTCATGCGGACCGCCAAGTGC